CCTGACCCCGCCTGCTCCCCCAGCCCCACCATGGCTGCCCTGCCCACCCTGCCTGCCCCAGCTCCCAGTGCTTTAAATAAAAACCCCCACTCACTGCATCATGCCCGGCAAGGGGCGTGATTTCCGCTGCCCCCCACCGCCCTGTACTGCATGGGGGGCTCTGCATGAGCCCTCCAACTCCACCACTCTCTCAGCCCCATCCTGCAGCTGCCCCACCTGGCTCAGCTCTGGCTTTTTAAGAAAAGAAAAAAAACAAAACCCCCAAACTCACTGGCTCCTGCAGCAGCCTTGGGGCTTGGGGGGGGAACAACTCATGGAAGAGCCCTATCATATGGTATGGGGCAGCAGGGGCAGGGGGATTGCTCCCCACTGGGCAGGAACTGGTGAGTCGGGGGGGGTTGTTCTTTTTCTTAAAGGGCTGGAGCTGGGCCAAGTGGGGCAACGGTCAGGGGGCTCATGCAGAGTCCCCCACATGGCACAGGGTAGTGGAGGGCAGCAGGGATCACCTCCTCCCGCCCCTGCCTGGTAGCACCCAATGAGTCAGGGTATTTTTTTTTTCAAACTGCCAGGAGCTGGGGCAGGCAGGGCAGCCATTGCCAGGGCTGGAAGAGCGGGTGGGGGGTGATCCTGTGTGATTCAGAGATTTGGCTGATTCACCAGTAGCCAAATCTCCAAATCAGATTCAGCCAAATTGATTTGGGACAGTGATTCAAATCACCGAATTGAATCACTGTCCCCCGAATCAGCCTAATCCGAATCTGAAGTGAATACTAGCCGCTTCACAGAGGCCTAACGACTATGTATGCAAACAGGCTTATGCATCCAGGAATAGAATTTCTATCTATCTGAGGCACAGGTGTCTTTTCGGCACTTACACAACCAGAAATGCCATGCGGACACCTAAATCTGGACACCTAGATGACTAGAAAGGGAACAGAATACCATTCTTAGGCAAATATTTTATCCATTGTCTTTAAGTAACCACACCAGGTAAATTTCTCTATAATGGCATCTACAGATGTGATAAAGCTTTAGCAAGCTACGAGTGATCAAGAACCTGAAGCCCAATTCATATGTTTTCCTTCCATTTGTGACTGAAATACATTTCATATCTAGACATCCCAAAGAGCTCTACATGGACAAACTATGCAGAGATATTGGTGGAGGTAATCTAAACATAACCCTCCTGAACCAGGATGCAAGGCTACCACATGGCTCCTTCTGGGTTAGTAGACCTGTGCTACCCTTCCATCTTATTTGTGGACAGTAGTTTATGTCTCTGCCCCTCTGTAATAACAGATCTCAAGGACCTCTCCTGATCTCCCTTCCATCTGCATTAGCTTATGAAAGTTGCTCAGGTCTCCTTTCACAGCTTGCAGGATACATGCAGGATTTTATTTAGTAGGGCCAGATATTATTCCACCTTGTAAGTGAAACTATGATTCTATTCCATTCTGCCTGAGTCCCTGAAAAAAAAGCTAATGCAAAAGATGAGGGGGTCCTTTCCCTTCTTGCTGCTTTTTTATAACTCAGTCTTAAGGGTTAGAAGATGGTGTGTTACAGAAGTAGGTGCATTATTGGTAGGGTTGACCCTAGAGGGGTGCGTGGCCCAGGGCAAATCAGCCTGTGCGGGGCCCCCTTAGCACTGCGTGGGGCCCGTGGCACCCCTGCAAAGGCAGGGCACAGGTGGGGGCCTCCCCCACACCCTAGGCACGGGAGGACTCTCCACGCGTCTTCTGTGGTGTGGGGAGAGCCCCCAGCACCAGGCAGGCCCCATGGGAGGGGTCATGCCTGCTCCAAATCAGCCTATGCAGGGCCCCCTTGACACTGCGTGGGGCCTGTGTGACCCTTGCAAAGGCAGGACATGGGCTGGGGTCTCCCCCACGCCCAGGGGGGCTGATCTCCACGCTTCTTCTGCAGCATGGGATGGAGCTTTCACCACCAGGTTGGCCCCTGTGGGAGGGACTGCGGCCGCTCCACCCAGCTCTGTGGGGTCCCCCATAGTGCGGGGCCCAAGGCAGTTAACCTGATTTGCCATACCCTAGAAAAAGCCCTGAATACTGGATTTCTGGAAGAGAAACTGGCACTGGGTGTTCAAGGTACTATGCAGATATATGGTGCTGCTTTATCAGTGACTCTTACCCTGTGACCAGCTCCAAAGCTAGTATAGCAGAGAGCTTTGGGAGACCCCCACAACCAGGTGACTTTCATTCAAACACAGATCAAACATGCCTTCTGCACATTACTGCACTTGCTGCAAATTCACTTTGATGGTGCTAATGCTAAACAATTTCACTTTCCTACTAGTTTAAGTAGGAAAGAAAGACCTGGCTTTAGCAAAAATCATTAAAATTAATGTCAAATATTACAGTGAGGTCACTTTTCCTTTTTAACACTCTTCATATTCACCACCAATAAATCTTAACATGCTACACATCATTTCTCTTTTGAAGCTATCACTGTTCAGTAAACACTGGCCAAGCCTTTATCATTCTGCTTGATTGCAGAGCACTTGAACAGCACCTTGTGCATCTGCACTGAAACCCTGGGCACCTGCTCTTGAGCTGGCCCACCTGCCCTGTCCCACTCATATACACCCAACCTGAAACTACAGTAGCGAAGCGGGACATGCTGAGGAAGGCCACCAGCACTGCCAAGGACAGTCTTGACACCTCCAGTGAGTTCTTATAAACAGAGGAGCAAGCCCTCTTCTGATTTTGAACAGTTAGCGACTGTTCAAAAATCAGAAGAGGGTTTGCTCCTGAATTCACCATGGTTTAGCTCTAGGAGGGCCAGGTATCTTCAATTATTATTTTTTATTTTTATTATTGAACTACAAACAAACTATGGTACCTTGCTTTTTTAAACAGTGTTGTTATTACCTATTTATGAGAGATAGAGAGAGAGGGATAGATAAATAGATATAAACTTTAGAAATGTGCTTTTATAATGTGTTTACCACAACAGCATACGCTGTAGAATGGTGGTGCTCAACTTCTGGCCTGTGGGCCAAATACAGCACATGAGGCTTCCCACAGGTGCAGATCTAGTGTGTGGGCCTGGGCCGATGCACTAGATTGAACCTGTGGACTGACCCTGTGAGCTGACCCCATTCTGGATCTGGCCAATAGACCAACCTCACATGTGGGACGTAGCCTACAGACCAGTCCTGTGCCCTTCATCCAGCCCATTTGGCTAGAAGGTTGAGTCCTACCATCAAAGGATATGAATTAGCAAAATTAGGACAAGAAAGCAGAACATTTTCTTTATGCAACTTATGCAAAAAAAAAAAAAAAATCAGCACCCGGAAGACATAAGAACAGCTCAAAGCAACTTTCCTTTGCATCAATGTATTATCTTTAATTATCATGTAGACAGGTGTCTTGGTTAAATGATGGAACTCAAAATATGTAGAGCAGATGGAATTTATAACAAGCAGCAGCCCACTGCATTATGTTTTTAAATTAAACAAGCATATGCTGTGATAAAATTCTTATAAATGTTCAGCAAACAGAGGGCTAGATTCACTGTTGCTGTAATGTAGTTTACATCACTATAACCCTTTTGATTATACTGGACTTACACCAATGCACAATTGAAAGAAACTGGTGGTGAATTAGGCCCAGAATATTTTTAAAAAGAAGTATCAATCAACAAATCACAGTTTGCTTACATCTATGATTCAACTCGGTGGCAGCATCTACATGAGGCATTGCATGCGCAGTAGGTTTATGTGGCACAAAGCATGATGCGATGCTACTGTGCAGTAGTAATGAGCTACTGCACAGTCAGCACCACCAAGAAACCATTCAGGAATGCTATTGTGTAGAAATGCCAGTTACTGTGCATTCATCTGGTACTTATGTTTGCAAGTACAGGTTTCCCTCGCTTTATGCAGGTTCTGTATGTGCAAATTCACTCTTATGCGATGACCCTTTTTGTACAAAAATGTGTTATATGCGAATTTGAGTTTTGCGCTGTTTTCCAGGAACACATGTATAGCATAAGGTGAGGGAAAACTGTACTAAATGACTAAGCAGTAACAACTGTGCAGTCAGCATCTCATGTAGACACAGCCAGTTTTGCAGATGGCTCCCCTCTCTTTGATCTTGGAATTCTCTAAATGAAAGAAAAGTTTCCACCAGTGTTTTCAAGCAGAAAGAGCATGCAATAAACTATGTAGAGAAAATAACAAAATTATGATTCAAGTCAGATGAATTTCCTACCTTTAAACCTGTCAGGCCTGGTGGACCAGCATCACCTTTTTCTCCCTGAAACACAGATATACAGCCAAGATTATGGGAAGTAGAAAACCTCAGAATGGTTACAGGAATTCAGGCAAGTAGATCCCTTTGTTTGGAAAGAAAGGATTAAATCAGCACAAATTTGCTCCAGTTTTAGGTTTGTACAAGTCCCATGATCTGTAATAATGATTAAGTTTATTGAAAATCTTTTCAACTTCTTTTTCTCAGGATTATTCTGTTCACATATATATGAGACTTATAGATGTTACTGCTTTTGGTGGAAAAATCATTTTTCATTACACAGGCTTTGCCCACTTACAACACTTGTGGCAAAAGCAGGCAGCCATTTACATCAGACAAACAGGCTGGATATATGACATCCCTTTAGATCTCAACCAAAGTCAGATCAAGTTTTTATTGCTATTGGTATCATGCAGTGACAATGGTTGAGCACCATGGTTGAGCTGTTGGTGACTCACCTGAGCTACCCACTGCCTTATGGCTGGCAAAAGGATGGTATGCAGACATTCAGGGGCAGCCAGACAATATTCTACCACATAAGGGACCCTCACATAAGTACCATCCAGTTCCCCATTGGGCAGCAGCAGTGCAGCTGGCTAACAGAAACACTAGCAGAGTTAGTCAAAGAAAAAGTGGAGGACAGGTCCAACCTGGCAAATAGCTTAACTTCTGTGGAACCATTATTGCTACTGAGAGAAAACACTGCAACAGTAGTAACAATAGGAATAGGTGATAGGCACTAGGTTAGATCATCTCCTCAATATGACCAAGAAGATAACACTCTTGGGGCTTATTTGGGGCACACCATATGATGCCACAAAGTCAAACGCATGCCTGATAATCCTGAGCATAATACAAGGGGACGGTGGCTAAGGAAAACAATAAATATCACAGCATGGAATGTAAGAATGTACAAATGTGAAGGAGATCAGCAGAATAATTATGTGGGACTCCAGACAATCAGACTTTAACAAACTCAGGGAACTGGTAGGCAGAATCCCCTGGAAGGCAAGTCT